AAGGCAGCCTGAAATCTTTTTCTCATCTTTTAGGACTTGTGGCAGAAAGTGTGTTTCCTAAAATTACCTAGAGGAGACTCTGGCGCTGTGATCATTCAGCAACCAGGCGAATGATAAGTAATTGATGGATTTGTGGGATTTATCGTCCCAAAACCACCCTATGATTATGAGAGACGCCGCAGTGGAGGGCTCCGAAAATTTCGACCACCTGGGGTTCTTTAACGTGCACCCAAATCAGAGTACACGGGCCTACAACAATTCCGCCACCATCGAAAATGCAGCTTCTACAGCCGGTATTTGGGATGGGAATGATAAGTAGTACACGGATTTGCCTAGTCTTCGTACCTTGCAGGCAGCGAATCGTACTTGTGACTTTGCTTATTGCTATGTTTCGGTTTTGTCAAGTTTCGAAGAAAAGAACGAACCCTCTTGAATTTTGTGACCCGATTTGAAAAGGTAAGCCTTAAAAAATGAGGTGTTGAAGCACCACCGCTTAACATTTGCTGTTTTTCGTTTCGTGAGAAAGCAGCGCGAAGCCACGCGAACACTCAAGAGCCCGAAGTACGAAAATTAGACAAATCCATGTACTACCTATCATTTCATGCTCACTGGAGCACCGCGCGTTGCAGCTCCCATAGACATTAGCGCCAGTTTTCCCTCTAGTGTATATTTAGGAAACTGCATGATTGCAGATGACCAAAAGAAAGCGCCATTCACGCCAATGCACGGTTATTGGCTGATTTGAACACCATGAGCTGACAAGCGACTGTGGCCGCGGCGAGATGTCCCCACGCGTCTGCACTCGCGATCCCACTATGTAGGCCGCGCTTTCAAAAAAAAAAATCACAGCATATCTACGGAGTGAATGATGATTGGTGGGGCGCAGCGTTCGTCAGTCTGTCTGTCCATTCGTTCTTGCGTCCGCCTATCTGTGTGATCCTTGGTGCATCCATCCGTTTGTTCATTCGTCTGTCTGTCCATCTCTTTTTGCGGCCATCCCTCTGTCTGTCCATCCGTCCGTGCACCCCTCTGTCTGTCCGTCCATGCGTGTGTCAGTCCGTTCGTCCGTCCATATGTCTAGAGAAAACTCCAAGCACAGCCATCTCACATCTTTTCATCATGCATTCATCATATACAAGTGCCCCCATCCAGCAGACATTGTAAGGACCGCTATTTCGGGTATGTGCCACTGGTGGTTACGTACTACGAGGGACGCACAAGCCACGTCATAAGGAGCTTCGCCCCTAAGAAGAAAAGTGCTGAAGGTCAACGCGTGCGCGTGACGTAACTTCTTTCTCCTGTGCCCTCTTTCATTGTTTACCGTCTAGCTCACTAGTGACTGTGGCCGCCGCGAGAGGTCGCCACGCGTCTGTGTGCTCACTCGCGATCACTCTACACGTAGGCCGCGCTTTCGAAAAAAAAAGAAAAGTGCTGAAGGTCAGCGCGTGCGCGTGACGTAACTTCTTTCTCCTGTGCTCTCTTTCATTGTTTACCGTCTAGCTCACTAGTGACTGTGGCCGCGGCGAGAGGTCGCCACGCGTCTGCGTGCTCACTCGCGATCACTCTACACGTAGGCCGCGCTTTCGAAGAAAAAAGAAAAGTGCTGAAGGTCAACGCGTGCACGTGACGTAACTTCTTTCCCCTGTGCTCTCTTTCATTGTTTACCGTCTAGCTCACTGGTCGACTAAAGAATCTCTTGATTGATTGATGTGTGGGGCTTAACGTCCCAAAACATCTATATGATTATGAGAGACGGTGTAGTGGAAGGCTCCGGAAATTTTGACCACCTGGGGTTCTTTAACGTGCACTCAAATCTGAGCACACGGGCCTTCAACATTTCCCCCTCCATCGGAAATGCAGCCGCCGCAGCCGGGATTCGATCCCGCAACCTGCGTGTCAGCAGCCGAGTATCTTAGCCACTAGACCACCACGGCAGGTCCAAAGAATCTCTTGCTAAATTCGACGCGCATTACATACTTGAGTACTAGTAATTGACATTTCAACTCAGGAATTATTTAAAATTACAACTAGTGGACCTAAAAATTACATATTATGGTATTCTGAATAGAATTGACCTACTCTTCCAATCCCCTCAACGGATGTCTTCGATGCACGGAAGTCAAGAAAAAGAAGACATGAGAACATGGAAAGTAATTACAGCGTACTAGGAAGCGCTGTAACTCCTTTTGCACTTGGCACATCGTAAAACATTTTGCCGTAGTCAATATTAAGCAATATATTGCTTTAATGAGGCAATTCGATTGTTTCTTGCAGAAGTGATGCAGGGCCCCTTTAATAATTGTTGGTGATTTAAGTTCCAAAACCATGACATCACTATGAGTGATGCCGTAGTGGAAGGTTCCGGCAGTTTCGACCACCTCGGCTTCTCTAACGTGCACCGACATGACCTAGTACATGGACTCCCTGCGTTCCCATGCGGAAGCCACGGCCCAGATTGGATCCCGCGACCGGAGGGCAAGCAGTCGATCATTACAACCACTAGGCGACTACGTCATTTAATAAACGACTCCATGTTCTCAGGAACGTTGAAAGCTACTACTACTACTACTACTACTACTACTACTACTGCTACTACTACTACGACTACTACCACTACTATACTACTACCACTTCTGAGATTTCTTCTTGATGTTGTTCTTGCCCTTCTTATGCTTGTTCTTCCTGTTCCTTTTCCTCTTTTTATCATTTTTCTTTTCTTCCCTTCTTCTTCTTCTTCTTCTTCTTCTTCTTCTTCTTCTTCTTCTTCTTCTTCTTCTTCTTCTTCTTCTTCTTCTTCTTCTTCTTCTTCTTGAAGTACTTCTTCTTCTTACTCTTGAAAATACACCGAGAAAGCCGTGCGTACCACTGGCTTGAACGTACACCAAGAAACCCATGCGTACCGCTGGAGAGTTGGAGTAATACAAGAAGTGTAACCAAGAAAAAAACACGCATCGTATCTGCCTGTTTCGCTGCAAATGTCAACGAAAGACAATAGTCTTGCGTCTGGAGGGAGTGAATAAAACGTTTATTTCATGGTCTGCACGAGAACATCGGTGAATGGGATTCTGGAGGGACTGCGTGAGACATTTGCGCCATCTGGCGGTAATCTTGGAAAACAAAAGGATGGCCTCCGATATAGCGAGTGCGCGGCGTGTGCGCTCAATCACGGAGGCCATAATTTGTAGATTGCAAGGCGACGGGTAGGTGACACCACCGTATTGTCTTAGCAAAGCGCAAGAAACACCCACTTTTTTCGTGCATACCTTTGCATTGTCAGCGACACGTAATAAACGCTACGTTCATTAGAATTACTTATGTGTGCTTTATCATAGTACAAAGAAATACGCCACAGATGTTAACGTGTTAAGGGTGTGCCTCAGATACGCGCAATATTTCCATTTGATCGACAATACGCACAAGTATGAACGCCGAAACCAAATCAACAAAGCTGGGAGCTGCCGAAGTAGTTATATTTTAGTCGTTTCGTTTGACAAGCAGACGATTTGACAGACCCAAATTTTAGCGTCGAAGTGAATTCGAACAGGCTAACATGCCACCGGCGTCACGTGTACCGATATTTGGGACGGCTTTCTACTCTCTCGTAGTAGAGCAGCAGTACTTTAGATCGTTAAACACTCTTTCTGAGCCCACACATAGTATTTCATGAAATACTGCCGTCTTTAAAGATAATAAAACTGGACTCACCCCAATTTGGCTCCTGCAGACGGTCCACTGCGTAGCGTTGCGTAGGCGACGGTCCCGGCTCGCGAATCGCATGCATGTCGAGTAGGGAATCATGCCGCCGGCGGCGACGATGCGCTGGCAAGCGACCACCACTGACTCGACACGACACTACCTTGTATCACTACTGTCAGTTCGGAAGGAGCAGGTATCGGTCACGTGGCGCGTCGGATTGTTCGGAAGGGAGGTGCGTAAGGAAGCAATGAGAGATCGACAGTGTAGGGGTGTCACCGGGCACAGTGCGACAGAGTCCAGCGCATTGACTATACGACGACTTGTTCGAGTCGATTCGATACAACAGTTCCGTTAGGTTTGAGCGTCGACAAACTGCGGTTCTTTCTTATTCTTGAATGGTGTGCGACGTCGAAACACTTTCCCAAGTAGACGTGCGGACTTCGTCTAATCGGCGTGGACCCTCTCTTTTTTTTCCTTGTTTATAATGAGCCTGGCTTAAGAAGGCAGCAGGTCGAAGAGCTACGACGAAACGTGCTTCCCACACAGAACTCAAACTCGGAGCTCTAACCGAAGTTTCTTACTTAATTTAAGTCTGTCCTTACAGTTGTGACGTGTCCGCAACAGAGCCTAACCGGTCTTGCGTTTTCACGAACTTGAGAATATCAATGAACGTTCTTGCTTTGGAAAGCAAGAGTTGGGAACTCAAAAGCATTTTAATTGCGCACAGAAAGCTCATGTTTCATTACGTTTTGATACTGACTCGTTGTTTTAAAAAAGGTAATTTGTTTCGATGGCTGTCACGAATCGCTATCCAAGCACATTTGCGCAATAAACACGCCTGAAGTGATCAACCAACCCGGTTTTTCGTTTCACCTCTCTGCGAGCAGTAAGTCTTATGAGAAAAGAAATTAGAGACAGGTACGATGAATCACGTAGCGATAAGAGTGTAGTCCTCGGATAACACCACTGAGAAAGTGGTTGCGTCACTGGCTGTCTTATCTTTGTTCACAACCTTGAAATACGCGCACTTACTGAGAGCGCGTTCACTTTGAGGTGTTCTTACGGAAGTTCCGTTGGCACGAAGCTCGCTTTCTTCGCGTAAACTGAAGATCACGCCCACAGCCTGTATACAAGCGCGAAATTTCAGCAGACGACACCGAGAAAGCACGACCTGGTGATTAACTATTCACGGAACGCGACTGGATTTGCGTCACCAGTCACGTGATAACCGCCTTCTGAACTGTGCGGAGAGATCTGAGTTCGAGGTGCGCAGTGTTCAAGTTGAGCCTTCAGGATGAAGACGGTTTTTTTAAGAAAAGAAAAACGGTGCAGCGTTTCGCCACGCGTTCCCACAGACGCTTGCCACAACCAAGGTCAGTTCAATGTCGGCCGAGGTCAGTTGAAGGTCGCAAACGAACAACGACGCAGACGCCTGATACACGGCGATCGTTCCAGTAGAAGACAGAGGTGCAAATGTTTTACAAGACGGACAAACGTGTTGTTGTGAACATATAAATGAAATATAAAGAAATATACTACGTCTTATTACGCTTGCTTTAAATCTGAGAAAACTGACACTCACTAGTGAGAAACCCGCTTGAAATGTGTGCTCCGTTGCTAGTATACGTACAGTAAACTAGCGTACCAGTGACGTACACGTCAATGTGCTAACAGTTTCACGATGCCTTGCTCACAAATGTACGCGGGATACAGTTATACATCACGATTACGGGTTTAAAAATCTGATGACGCAACGGTAAGTTTAAGACAGTGCGAGGATAATGTTTGAGGATGTTGCTATCTTCAAACCAGGAAAGGGAGGTACGGTTATACAGTGCCTTACTCTTTTGCGTTACAGTTACAGGATAATGCTATTCGATTAAGGAAAAAGAGCCTTTTCCCGCTATTGCCAGTGAAAGTCACAACTGCCTATATGGCGATGAGAGCACAATGAAAGGGCTGGTCATTGGGTGATGACGATTCTCTCTTTAAGAGACGTCACACGTGACGTCAACGGACAGAACAGCAAGTGTGGGAGCGACACAGTGGGCAGCGTCGATTTGAGCAGTTACTTCAGTGGGAATTTCCGGCGTAAGGCGGAAAAGCCCTAAAGTTGACGCGGACTACTACAAATCGATGTTAAGGACACTACGGACTCCACACAACAAGCAAAGAGTGGGCTTGATTCGTGACGCAACAACGACGATGTTGTGACGTCGACGGTCACGTGGGCACCGCAAGGAAGCCGTTACACGCACAGTGGATGAGGAGGAATAGCGACACGGTAGAGGGTGCAGTCGAGCTTGGCAGATGACGTCAGCGGACTACGATGCGCCCAGGTGACGGAAGCGATTCGATGACGACGACGACGGTTGGTTCGTCACGCGACATCGTCCGGACGCTCCGAGTCACGTGATAGTCGTGGCGATAACGTCTCACGCACTCCGGACAAAAGATGGCGAAGCGAACGGATGGGACCCAAGCGATCCCGTGACGTCAGTCAACCACGTGGGCAACCACACCACACGAGCGATTGTTCGGTCCGCAAACCGGAGCAAGCGGCGGCCGGAAGTGAAGTGATCTGGTGACGTATAGGCTAGAAGACCGCCCGCAGTGGTGCGACGAGAATCCCGCCGCTGTTGGACCTTGGGAAGTAGGACGGGCAGGCACCCGAGGAAGAGGACGACGCGGCCTTCCTCAGGATGGCCTCCGGCCGCGCACCCGTTCATGGCTCCCGGTTTCACGACTCTGCAGCAGCGAGAAAAGAAGGGCAAAAAAAAAAAGAACGATTACTTCTTGAAAACAGGTGTTACTGGCACAAAAGGAATGACGATTATTCGTCGTGTATACTATATCAGAGGTGATACTATCGAGAACACTGGGTAAATGTGCAACTTTGGCGCTGTGCGAAACGACACATGAAGATAAGATGGCACATAAGAACAAGTCTGGGGAGAAACCAACGTGCAGAACTTTCGAAGCCCCTTCGCCACCGCCGATGAACCATTCACAAATGTCGCGATGCTCAGAGGCGGCACTTCCGCGCTACGGTTGTGTCCCTTTGCGTCGTGAGATGCGGATAGAACTATAGAGCTGTTACGAGCAGTTGGCCGACGGATCGACTCACTTTGGGACGGACGCAAGTGGTTCGCTCGGACGAAGAAGAGGGTAAATCTAAAGAGCGTCAACAGGCACGGAAGCATCGTAATTATTAATCACCATGATCAACACTGAGCATCAACAGGCATGCGCGTATCGCCTTATGGACACGTAGTGTGTACTCTGCCAACTTGTAAACAGAAGAGTTATGGCGTAGCGGGCCATTCGCAACTATACTTGTGGTAGTGATTCCAAAGTAGTTTGAAAGGGCCTACGTTACGGCCACAGACGTTACTTTCTTGCGGCACAGTTGAGATGCCTGAGGAGCAAAGCTATGCTATCGATTGAGCCGGCAATGCAAACGGAGCTCAATTACGCTATGGCGTTGTACTCTTGTGTCTGGAAGGAATAAAGGAACAGAAGAGAAAAAAAAGCGAGGGATGTTAACTGGTCTAGGGGGACCGGCATCCTACCCTACAATAGGGAAAGGGATGAGGGTGGTTAAAAGATGCAGAGAGAGGGAGAGAGAGATGAGCACACACACACACAGTCATTATTAACCCTGTCGGTCTGTAATCGCCGGTGCAAGCCCGAAGACTGCAAAAAGTTCAGCACCGCCTTCGTCGCCTTTACCCGCAATGATCTCTCAAACATTCCAGAATGGTTTCTGCCGTCATGAGTCTGCGATCTATGCGAGCTATAGCGCGACTGCAAGTGATTTTTTCTGCGCATTGCAGCCAGGACAGTCGCAGAAGATGTGCTCTATAGTGTCTCTTTGCTACCACCGCTTTCACTAAACGTGTCGTCAGCCATTTCGATACGAAAGAAGAACGACTTCGTGAAAGCCACTTTTGGTCGAAAACGGCAAAGTAAGGTGGCATAACTTTGGCGCAGTCCAGTATAGATGCCTATAGTTTGTGTGTCTGGGATATGGCGTAAAGAAGCAGTAGAATATCTTAATTTCGTCAAGATAGTCGAAAAAAGCTTTAATTTGCATTTACTGAGGCCACGAAGATCATACTACCAATTTAACGTTCCCGTTTTTCTCCTCGAGCTTGCTGGCGCCTCTTCTTCTTTTTTGGTTGGTCCACCAGCGCTTACGACAGAATCAACACTTGAAAGTAAACTCAAAAGTCCCCCAAGTTCTTCCGTAAAAGAAAGCTTTGGGTTAATTTGAACACAAGTTACTGCTCGCGCTCGCAGCTGACGAGTGTCCATGGCATCCTGACTGGACGAATTATAAACAACAGTTAGTGGCACCATGCCATCCGTAGGAAACACCCCCGCCTATATAGTTTCAGGCCACGTTGACGTCTATGTACTATGTTGGTTCGAGGGCCCGAGCAGCATCTAACGAAGGATCTACAGCGAGCCCCCGTCTTGCCTTCGAGGCCATGCCTCCATACCACGCCACTTTTGTACTTGACACCAGCTCGTTCTAGCTGGGAAATGGACGACCCCAGAAGCGCGGAGACTGCGCATTCCAGAGTGTCCGTGCTCTGCTATAAAGGTAGCTCCCTGCAGTGCACAGCACGTTTATCATGGAGAGCCCCCAAATAGGTTAATGAAGTGCTTGAACTTTCCTCATCCTACTCAGTCTTCCAATTCCCTTTCTCAAGTCAGCCTTCTCATTCCCTTTCCCAAGTCCGGGCTGACCAATCGGAACGTCAGGAAGATGAGCTTAAAGAGAGAAAGAGAGATGTTACAAAGAAAGGCGGAAAGGTGAACCTAAAAGCGAGTATCTGGTTTGCTACCCTGCACTGGGGAAGGGGAATGGGAGAGAGAAAAGTAAGGAAAATAGAAGGAGAAAAAGAGAGTGGGAGGTAAACTAACACACACACACACACGCACACACACACACACACACACACACACACACACACACACACACACACACTATAATGTCACAAACGAGGCGGTCGCTTGTAGAGACTTAAAGAGCAAATTCGCCGCTTTCTGGAGTGAAGCACGATCTTTCCGGCATTTCGAAATCGTGGAAGCTCATTGTGGAATAAAAAATCACAGGGTCCTCTATGCATGCCCCAGAGACGATTCGATGGCGAAAGTCATTGATTGTATCGATATCCCTTCTTTCCCGAAAGCTTTCTGCAAATAACGTAACACTACACAGCCTCCGAGATTTGAGACACTCTAATTAGAGTTAACCTGTTAATACTCAACGTGCCTTCACAGTAAGTAGACCTGCGATGTACTAGTGACGCAGGTGGGCACTCTAACCCTCTCACACTTTTCTGACAGTAACGAAGAGAGGATACGCCGATTCATGATGACGATAACTATTTTACGACGGAGCACAGGTTACCGATGACCTACGTAGCTTTGCCGTTACTGACTGGAAGAGTCGAGCGGTCGTTGTAACAATTTTAACACCTTCTAGAAACATAGTGAAAGAACAAACAGCCCGAAAAACGAGAGACCAGACGAAGAAGCACATATACAGAGTACTTTAGCTGCATTTGGTTCTGGAAACAGTGGAACAAGTTCGAGAAGAAAAAATAGATATGAATGACTGACACAGTCAACGCCTTTGGCAAGGTCTACCCGTATAGACGGTTTCAAAGTCACAAGCGTTGTACCCCCGCCCCCGCCCCCCCCCCCAAAAAAAAAAAACTTCAAGTCACTTCATTTACCAGCTCTTAACGTCGAAACTGAAAGCACGTTTTCAATTTCTTTTCAAGCGTAAGGAAACTCTCTCTTTCATTTTTCACATAAAAGAAACGTGTGTAGACTACAAGGGAATACTTCGTCATTTTAACGTATATCAGATAAACATTTCTTTGAATAAATTTTTCCAAATAAAGAAATAAACGGTAGGGAATCAGCGGGCTATTTTCTAAAGCTCTTGTGATCCACCATTACTATTAAAGGTATCGGTGGACAAAACCGGAAGTCATCAAGGGGCTGTGTTTGTAAACCTCTAAAGGGCAAGCTGTACGTGACGTGGGTCGGTGTACTAGGGCCCTCGGCTATTGACCCGAATGCCGCAAGTGCGATCCAAGTCGTGGTGTGGTCTCATTTCGAAGGAGGCGGAATGGTAGAGGCCCGTGCGCTCTGCCATGTCAGTGCACCAGATGTCAGAACACCAGATGGTCTAAATTTCCGGAGCCTTCCACTAAGGCGTCTATCACGATCGTATCCCGGTTTTGGGACGTGAATCCCCCTCATATTATTATACCATTGCGTTTTCTCGGGACTCGTGTTGTGTGACGACAAGGTGACCTAAAATGGCGCGGCAATTTTTTTCTTTTTTTACATGCGACGCCATCATGACGTCGCGCAACGATATCGTCGCATCATGACGATTTTTCTCGTCACTTCCATTTCGCGTGAACGCAACTTACGGCCGGTTCTCGCAGTTACTGAGGTATCTAAGCCTTTTGGCCTTTGAAACTATCGCATGTAAACACACACGTACACACACAAAGAGGCAAAGGTGATTAAATGACTAAAAAAAGTACTGCCCCGCCCCCCCAAACACACACGCGCGCACGCCTATACTGCATGAGTTCACCCGACTCGTTTTGTTGATTAAAGGTCGCTTTCAACTGTGCGTCACTGTATCATGTACCATTTATTAACGTGAATAAACCTATCCTAAACGTTTCCTCGTCTGTCTCGCCATTTCATCAGTCATCATCATCGCCGCAAGAGCGTGCAGCCATGGAGACGTACATGCGCGTTAAATGACGACAAACACGGTACACTCTCAGCGAAGGCATGCCCGGGACGCGAGGCTGGTGATGTCGCACTGGGGACGGAGACGTATAAATAGACGAAAGCCTCTCGCATAGTGCGCCCCGTCGTCACCACGTCAAGGGGTGGCGGTGGTGCCTCCATAGGCGTCTCACGGGCAAGGCGCGCAGTGCCTGCGCTTGCCAAACGAAAAGAGACACCAGTAATACATGAAGTATACTAAGGCCACGTTTAGATCGAAAGTTGGGCCGTTGGAAGCAGTTATAGGAATCAACTTTATTGCTTCGTTTCGGACATACCTATCGCAGCGCGCAAAAGGTCTTCAACACGTCTATATATGGCTTGGCGGGTCGTAGTTACTGCTATTAGAGTTTTGAGTTTAGTTTATTTACCACGTACAGTTGTACAGTAAATGGCTGGGCCAGAGGAAAAAAAGCTGTATAAAACAGCTAGACAAAGCCCCATATCCCCGTATTATGATCTATCTATTACTCTCTCTCTCTCTCTCTCTCTCTCTCTCTGTCACAAAGGCATTATGCCCGATTACAATCCAGCTGTAAGCACGGAATAAAAATAAATATAATTGGGGAGATCGTATCCCCTTGTCCTATACTTATAGGTATTATGTTGCTTTCTTCATGGAGCACAATGGTGGCAGTTGATTATTACCGCGTTATTACAGGAGGTTTTCGGAGGCCTAGAATGCAGAGTCAGGAATAAGAGTTAATGGAGAGTACTTTAGTAACCTGCGCTTCGCTGATGACATTGCATTGCTGAGTAAGTCAGAAAGAATTTCAATTCATGATACCTGAATTTAAAAAAAAGCAGAAAGGTAGGTCTTAAAATTACCCTGAAGAGAAGCTGAAGTAATGTACAGCAACCTTGTAAGAGAACAGCGCTTCGAGATTGGTGGAACTTTAAGCTGTAAAAGAGTA